TCCTCCTTTCCTTCCTTCCTTTCTACCTTTTGTTTAAGCCCCTCTCTTCTACACTGCTACTACCTCTCTCCTTTTATATAGCCCAATGACCCATACGTTGCGCGGCGTGTCTGTTGTTATTGTCCAAGGATTTCTTTGGTTTTTCCTCCCTCCCTCCCTCCCTCCCTCCCTACCTCCCTTCCTTCCTCCTTTCCTTCCTTCCTTTCTACCTTTTGTTTAAGCCCCTCTCTTCTACACTGCTACTACCTCTCTCCTTTTATATAGCCCAATGACCCATATTCATTTTTCTATCACCAGGATATTTCATTGCACGCACGGTTTGTGACCCACCTCACCCTGGGGACCATCCACAGTGACTGGGTTCGTCGTGTTCAATACGTACCCGCCAAGGAGTTCATCATCTCGTGTAGCGGAAGCGCGCGAGACTCGTTGGTCGTTAGAGACGTTGATGACAAGAAAAGGAAAACTTATGTATTCAAAGTAGCAAAGGTAAAGCTTTAGTGAGTTAAGAAATAAATAATTGATTAACAATGTATAAATACTTAATTTTTATTATCTTAGTAGTAGTTAAGGTTTTTAAAAAATTTCGTTTTTACATTATATTTTTATCCAGCAAACAAAATAAATTAATTCGACGTTATCTATGACAAAAAAGCATATTCAAAATCATCACTGTTGCGTTGCAAATTGCAGAACAAATGCCGGTTGCTCTGTTACCTCTCCGCGTCTAACAAATTTGAATTGTTGCACCAAGAAGAAACTTTCTGTACACTTTGCAACAAAGAATAAGAAAGGACATGCGAGATAATTTTTTGCCCGAGGTAAAGGATTGCTGCAACATTTGCTTTGCATCTTTCAACTTAACTGTGTTGCGCGACAAGTTGCTTGATTATGGTGTCTGTTTCACAAAATAGATAGGATAGTAAAGTTAGTCACATATTATCAACGATCTTTAGTATCGCTCTCACTGATATAATTTATATATTCTTATCTAGGGTATCGATTGTTTTGATTATAACCACACCCTCAATGTCATCGTGACGGGCGGGGTCGATCACGCGGTACGTGTGTGGAACCCTTACGTCACAGTTAAGCCAATCGCCATCATGAAGGGACATCAATCGTCTATCGTGGACCTGATTATACACGAGACACTGGAACAGGTTTTCAGCTACGACAAGGAAGGGGTACTGTATAACGATTATTATCAATGATTATCAATAATTATCATTAACATTACTAAAGGCATCGTCATGAAATGCTGTCGTCATCAAATATTGCAACTGTAACAGTATATGATCATTGTCTTGACAGCATTATCATCTTTAGCATCATTAGCATCCTCATCATCATGTCATTACTTGGCGTCATTATTTACAACATCATCGTTTTTGTGTTTGCGTCATCATTTTGATCTTCAATGTCTTATCACTAACATCACTGTCGTGGTTATCGTCTTGACGTCATCATCGTCATCACTGTCATCGTTATCGTCTTGACGTCATCATCATCATCACTGTCGTGGTTATCGTCTTGACGTTCATCATCTTTATCACTGTCATCGTTATTGTCTTGACGTCGTCATCTTGATCACTATCGTCGTTATGATCTTCAGCAATGTCAACATTATAACTGTCATCGTTATTGTCTTGACGTATTCATCCTAATCAGTGTCATCGTTTTTATCTTCAGTGACATCATCATCATCATCATCACTGTCATCGTTATCGTCTTGACGTTATCATTTTATTATCATAATCATTATCATATTGATGCAATTACTATCTTAGCCTCTTCATCTTCATGATCACCATTATCATTAGGCTTATATAACATTTACACATATCCACAATAATAGATATTATCGTATAATGATATTCACATTTATCATGCCTACTCATTAATGGTCCCCTTGTGTTTCAGATCCTCAAATGCTGGGAAATCAAAGAACAAACTTGTATTCAAAGTCTTGCTATTCGGGATCCCTTTGGTCACCGTGTTCCTGAACACGGCCCGTTTCCTTTCTGTCTGATTGGTAGTCCCATTAACTCGCTACTCATCACTAGTAATGATAGTCTGATCGAGGTCAAACTGCTAGGACTGGGGACGACTAAAGCTATCAAGACAAGTCACGCAAAACCGCTGTGTGCTGCTGTATATAACGAGAAAATAAACCAGGTCAGTGTAACGCTATATTAGTAATGGTGCGCGTCACGTAGTAATGGCGGAAGATACGGTTATTGTAACACTATATGTAATAGATATGAGGCGTTCCATGCAATAGAAGATACAGTTATTGTAACGTTATCTATAATAGATATGAGGCACGCCATGCAATAGAAGATACGGTTATTGTAACGGTATCTRTAATAGATATGAGGCACGCCATACAATAGAAGATACGGTTAGTGTAACGCTATCTGTAATAGATATGATGCACGCCATGTAATAGAAGATACGGTTAGTGTAACGCTATCTGTAATAGATATGAGGCACGCCATGCAATAGAACATACAGTTATTGTAACGCTATCTGTAATAGATATGAAGCGTTCCATGCCATAGAAGATACGGTTAGTGTAACGCTATCTGTAATAGATATGAGGCACGCCACTCGGTACAACAATATACTTCCTACTGTCTTTGGGATATGTCTGTGGAATATACGTTACTTGCGCAACATTTCCCCTTCAATATTGCCTTTAGCAAATGCATAGCTTCTGTATGTATAAATAGTAGCGTTCTGTCTTCATTCAGGTGATCACAGGCTGCGAGGGATCTGTCATTTGTTTCTGGGATATCTCTACTGGTCGTAAAGTACTCCAGATACTCGAGGCTCATGGGAACGAAGAGATCTCGTGTATGCACCTGGATAAGGAAGGCAGTAGATTGATGACAGGAGCTAGAGATGGGTCTATTAATGTGAGTACCAATCCGTTAGAATTGAGTGAATCCCAGCGTCCCTTAATGCGCTCTTTAATGTTGTTTTTAAAATCGTTTATTTGATTCTAAATGATGCTATTTTTAAGAATCATTGATGCTATTTTTAGAATCACTATTTGATGGCTTTTTTTCCGGCAATTGCATGCTGCGCACACTTTTCGCCGTTTTTTCATGTTTGTTCTTGTGTGTTTTCCCCCAAGAGAACGTGTGCAAACAGCGAAGAACACGCACAGTGTGCGTGTGAAAACTACAACCAAAAATACCAGAGATTCCTTCTCTTAGTGATTTTTTTCTTGGTACAGTACTATGATCTTAAAACGGCACGGCACGGTCAAGATCCATCCAATCACGCCGCAAGAAGGCACTGCTTATCCAAGTAAAAATGATCGTAAAATGCGTAGACATGGCATCATCAATTCACATCAAAGCATGTCCGTTCTTTATTTTTGCCACAGCTATTCGAACTTTGCTCTTGTCAGAGAGTATTTTACATGAACGGCACAGAATCGATGTCAAGCGCTCATCAAATAAAGATATTCAAAAACATTGCTGAAATTTTCAAATTTTCCACTTGGACAACTGAATTGGTTAACGTGGGCTACTTGTGATCTTTATGCTAACATCTTATCTACTGCTTTACAGCGTTTTTCATGTTTCTGCCTTCTGCCTACACTTGGGTTTTGGATTCCATCTTTCATAAAATGACTATGTTAAAATTTGACGGATGTCAATCAAAAGACAAAAAAACCTGCGGTATCTGAAATTGTCTGTTTAGCAGAAACATGAGAAGCGCTGTAATGACTCGTTATGTAATCTTCCTTCATCAGGTATGGAATGCAAATAACGGTCATCTAATGAACAAACTAGCTGCTTTAGAGGAAGCAGAAGTAACTGGAATAACCTCCTTTCATGCAAAGAGCAAGATTCTTACTGTAGGATGGCATAGGAAGATAATAACCTACCATGATGATAAGGAGGTCAGTAAAGGTCATCATGACTATCGACTGCTTATTGAATAGTTAAAAAATATATTAAGCTTTGACTGTTGTATCAGAAACAACAAACAACTCTACTGACATTTGACACAGAGCCCGGCAGAACTCAGGTCACATTGTTGAGAGGCAGCGCATTAACAGCCATGCCACTTGTGCTTCCCTAAAAAATTGTTGCCATTAAGACAAAAAATTAAAGAGATGTTGGAAACATATGTCACAACCAAAATATGTCTCGTTTTCTCACTGCACTCTGAAGATGACTTCCGCTCAGGTTGTCAATATGCCAGTCACCACCAACAACAGTCTTTCTCAAGACTACACTCACCCCAATGATCACATTTCACAACAAACTTCAACRCCAGTGTTCAAACCATTTACTCCTACAACTAAAATAGCTGGCAACCAACAAATATGATAACAAATTAGATTTCAGTAAATGTTTGACAGAAAAATTAGTTTGACAGAAAAATTAGTAAATGGTTACCATGACAATAAAGAGAATAACCACCTAACTTATTTTATTTATTTTACAGACATTTGTTATCAGGCCTAACGCATGCTGGAAAGGAGGCCAGGTTCATCAGGTAGTCAATGCAAAAATCGTCATATTAATTGTCTTTAATGTGTAGTTCCAGAAATCATCCATACCCAACCCACAGAGGAATTTGGAATTTCCGAAGAGTAGGGGGTCAGAGAAAGAACAAAAATTACAGAGTTTGTATGGAAGAAAACTGGAATTTCCAGGGRGTAGGGCGGTGTCTTCCTCGGGGGCGTGGATAAATTTTGGAACTACACATTATCTAGAGATATACTTGATATTAATTTGCTTTTATTTTTTAGGATGACATTTTAGCTAGTGCTTATTGCCCTCCAAACTTCCTGGCCACGTCCAGTTTTGACGGAGACATTATTCTTTGGTGCCTGGACCGAGAAAAGATGATCAGAATACTGAAAAAGGGATCCAGGAGTCTATTGTAAGAGCATTTCAATGTTCATAAAACTAAAATCTAAATTCATTACAAAAGCAATGGAATGAAAAGACACATTTCTTGATTATGTATGTCCTAGATTGTATGATAGTTGTACACACAGTTAATTTTGGAGAAAAAGTTAGTAAAATAAAATCATACGACATTTTCCAAGTAAGAGGACCTTTATGACAGGGCCATTTTTATTTCCATTAGAATAACGACCCACGTAACACACGCAACCTCATCCTGAAGCATGTGAATGTGAGGCTAAAAGGAAAAATCTATTGTTTAAACCAACATGGCTGCCATGTGAGAAGGGAAATGAAATAGAAAAAGACATTGCTGCTATTTTATGTCATACAGGAATCAAAGTAAAGCCATGTTAAGCATAGCTAACATGGTGGCCCCAACAAACACAAATGTTGGATAGTATGTATTAGTTGGTAGAAAGTTTCTCAATTTATAAAAATTTCAATTTGTAGTAAATCAAAGATGAAGAAAGTTGGGCTGATAGGACGTGAGAGAAAACATAGGTAAGATATGTTCACCTTAATAAGTCACATGACTAACTTTTTCCAAGTGGTGTGCTCATGGCTTAAGATACTCCAGATCAAATATGGCTGATTAAGAAGTTGATTTTTATTGAGAAAGGAAAATCGTGGAGAAACGAAGGAAAACTCTCAGTGCACAGTAGAGAACCAACAAACAACTTACTATGGCAGGCCATGTGTCGCACAACCCAGCACTATTGTAAGGAGGGTGTGGCACATCCCTCCAAAATTTTTGGTAATTGATTGAATGAATAAAGATGCTTGATTCTTTTTTAACGTTTTTATTCCTGGGTGCTTGCTATGCCCCTTCAACCAAGGCAGGGACGTATTTGCAGTGCATACCATCCATGTTTCCTAACTCTAAGTTCTCTATTGCAGCCGAGCTCAAGTGCAAGCCAAGAGTAGTGCTTTCTCAGCGGTTGACCGACTTATGTTCTTAACGGCAAGAGCACAAAGCAAAGCACAAGAAAGTGCAACCCTCATCTCCTCAGAAAATGGAAACCTGGAGTTTTGGTGTCTCTATGGCACTGCAAAACCAATGGGTAAGTCATTGAATATGCCTGTTTGACAGGGCAAAGGCTGGGGAGGGGGGCTTGCCACCAAACAAATCATCCCTCCCTCCCCTCTCCCAAAACCAATGGGTAAGTCATTGAATATGTCTGTTTGCCAGGGCAGAGGATGGGGAGGGGGGCTTGCCACCAAACAAATCATTCCTCCCTCCCCTCTCCCAAAACACATGCATTTTCCATACTTGAGAGTAAAGAGGTCCAGGCACCCATTTCTTGCCTCTGTACAATCCAAGCCTAAACATTTCATATCTATTCAGGTACATTTTGTGCGGCGATAGGAGAGAATGGCTCTATATTGGCCCTAGCAACAGACAGTAGTAATAACATCCTTCTAACAGGTGATTCCAATGGTTACATATCGATATGGGACATAAGTAATTACTGTATCTCTCGAGCAGAATCTATCATTGCACAGGTTAGTAGAAAAATGTTTGAATTTAGAATTTTCTTTTTAAATCCGCTTACTTCTTAGTATCCAAAGCAGCTGCTATTAGTGTCATTACACACTGCTTACTGCCTTGAATAGCTGCTTAGGTGACAACACTAATAGCAGCTGAGTAGGAAACTTCTTACTCCTGAGTTATGTATGTTTTCTTATCCTCTCGCACCCTTGAYCCTGGTAATTCTTCCCCATCCTTCCAATCCTTCATTATTCCTCACCTACTCCTTCTGACCTACGTCCCCCTCTTTCCCTTCTTCTGCATCCTCCTCCCCCTCAGGCCACCTGTTACATTCTTTCTTCCACCCCGTCCCACATTCGACTTCCCTCATTTTCCCTTCTCCCACCTATACATATCTTCATCTTTCTCATTCTTCTATTCCCTTTACCCCTTACTGCTCTCTTCACATTCTTCTCGATCTTCCTTCCTCATTTCCCTTCATCCTCCTTCTATTCCTATTTCCATCTTTCTCATTCTCCTGTTCCCTTTACCTCTTACTGCTCTCTTCACATTCCTCTTGTCCTTCCTTCCTCATCTTACTCTCCTTGATTCTCACTTTGTCTCATCCTCTTTTTTTTCCTGTCTCCTCACATTCCTTCCCTCGATTCTTTTCCTCCTGCTGCATTTCTCTTGCATTTCTACATAAACTGTTCTCTTGCATCCCTCAGCCTTCTCCTATCCTCTTCCTACCCTACTTCAACCCCCCCCCCTCTCTCTCTCTCCTTGTCCCATCCTAAAGGACCCTACTTCAATCCTCGCCCACTCTCTCCTTGTCCCATCCTAAAGGACCCTACTTCAACCCTCTCCCTCTCTCTCCTTGTCCCATCCTAAAGGACCCTACTTCAACCCTCTCCCTCTCCTTGTCCCATCCTAAAGGACCCTACCTCAACCCTCGCCCTCTCTCTCCTTGTCCCATCCTAAAGGACCCTACTTCAACCCTCTCCCTCCCTCTCCTCATCCCATTCTATGTTAAAATATTGATGATAGTATTAATATTAACGATTCAATGCCCTCATACACAGGTCTGGTCTACCACTCAGCGCATGTCTAGTATGGACGACATTGCCGAGGCCCCTCCCCCTAGGATGATTTCATGGCAAGCGCACTCGGGAGCTGTGGTCAGTCTTGAGGTGGTATCACGTGATGGTAGGACGTTTGTTATCTCTGCTTCGAGCGATTGTACAGCAAGATTATGGACTTTGAAAGGAGACTTCGTTGGCATGTTTGGCCAGGTAACATGTTTGACTAAACTAGAACTATTATCGAGCTGCAAAACTAGAACTACTATCTTAGGGGGATACAACTATTATCGAGGAACAACTCGTCCTTCAAGCACAATTTAGTGTCTACTTTTTTTTTCTTTTTTTTTTTACATGTAATTTATTTCAAAGCTTAGAAATGCTAACAAAATTACAGGGCAATTTTTTGAAAATCAAATAAAGGGTATATACATAAATGCTCTTATGATAATTACAAATTGTACTATATTTAGTGTCTACTTATATTTAGAAAGAGCTTGCTTTTATGTGCGACTTCTCAACTGTTTAACTTTTCTTAATTGCAGAAAAAGATGTGGGATACTGATGATGAATCGACGTACAAGTATGTTGGGTAAGGAATAGATATGTTTAATGAATAATTAAATCAATGATTTACTGAATTGTTGATAGTATGATAATAACGGTAATGATGATCTCTGATGATAATGTTCGTGATGATGATGATCTCTGATGATAATGTTCGTGATGATGATGATGATGATGGTGATGATGATGATGGTGATGGTAATGATGATGGTGATGATGATGATGGTGATGGTAATGATGATGGTGGTGATGGTGATGATGATGGTGATGTTTGTGATGGTGATGATGATGGCGATAGTGATGGTGATGGTGATGGTGGTGGTGATAATGTTGATGGTGATAATGTTCATGATGATGACAATAATAATGATGTTATACCGAATGATGATGTTGATGATGGCATTGATATCAAAGGATAAACCTATGAGTAAATGGTCAAACGTCAATTATCTGTCTAATACTCATATCCTTTTTCCATCAGGACATGGAACGAAGAGAGTATGGCGGACAGTGAAAGTAAGTGGATGTTTTCTGACTCATAATTATTATTTTTACTTCCTTATTATGCTTAAGCATATGTACGTGTAACAGCAGACGTCTGTCAGTACTCCAGTTTCGAGTTCTCTGTTGCTCAGGGTTAGTCTCGATTTTGTGCAGAATATTCATGCGTTCCAGTGAAGGTTCATGGAATTTCAAAGGTGCTTATATTGCTGAAGTTGTGCATTCTTTACTTTACCGTATGATGATGATAATGATGGAACACAGCGGTATTTGACTAATTCGAAAATGGTCTATTCTTGCAGGAAGTACAGTTTGTGGATCTATATCTCCAGAACGAGGTGGTCGTGATGACGTTAGTGCTCCCGCCATGGTTACACCTGATGATAGTGACCGAATGGACACAAGTCCCAACAGACCTGAAAGGTACTTTCATTGGTGTCATTGCTCAGTGTTGCTGCGGCAACTGCAATTTTGTGTTTGCAGTTTTAGTTGTCATTGTTACTGTTGTTGTTCTTCAGTGCTCCTGTGGCTACTGCAGTTGTTGTTGCTGTTATTATAGTTGCTGTTCATATGTAGTTGCAGGTGTACTTGTCATTGTTGCAGCTGTTGGTGTTGTTCTTCAGTGCTCCTGTGGCTACTGCAGTTGTTGTTGCTGTTATTATAGTTGCTGTTCATCCATAGTTGCGGGTGTACTTGTCATTGTTACAGCTGTTGTTGTTCTTCAGTTCACCTGTGGCTAATGTAGTTGTTGTTGCTCTTATTATAGTTGCTATTATAGTTGATCCGTAGTCGCAGGTGTAGTTGTCAAGTGTTGCGGTCACTTTTCATTCTTGTTGTTCTGTGTTGCAGCTGCTGTTGTTGTTGCTGCCATACTATTGTCAGTGGTTGTTATAATTTTGCTGTCACTGATACAATTCAGAGCATCATTTTGATATTCTGTCTGTTCAAAGTCTATCTGTTTCTTTTGGTCAAACTGTCTTTTTCGCAGCTACTTTTAATCGTCCCTTATTTTTTTTACCTTCCTGTTCTTGTTTCTTCAGTTCTCCATCAGAGCCACAAAACAGCTTCTTACCCCAGATAAGCCCCGACAACCAACCAACAGATCAAAATAAAGACGATTCCCTATTGAAGAAAACAAGCGAATTCCAGCGATCGATGACCAGTTATGTACTCGACAGACGAAAACCTGAAACCTGGGTAAGATGACTAACAGCTCACGTGATTATTTAGGTCACGTGTCTCGGTACTATGCATCTTATTGGTATTCAATCACTTGATGACACTTTCTTACTACAATACTTCTGATTGGTCATTAAATCACGTGATAACAATTCACGTTACGTTTTTGCAGATCTTAACATGAGTTGTTGATGTGAAAACCAATACATGTATTAAAAAATTTGAACTATAATAACATAGTTTATTATTATTTTTAAGTCAATTCTAGGTCATAAGTACAATGACGAGTTTCGACAACGGATGCAAACACGTCAATCAAGAAGGAATTTCATGGGATATGTAGATCAGAGGTTGACGTCGTGTGCTGGTCTTGCTAACAAATGCTCTCCCTTCCAAGCACTTCAGATACCGGTAGCTAAAACATTAGAGAAATTTGCTAGAAAATCAAGCCAAATTCTGTTACATGAGAACCACATTGTATTTTAAGTAGGGTTTTAGATGATCACTGCCCCCTTTTTTTGAAGGACCCTCTTTATTTTGCTTAATAATCGTACCGCTCGGAAAGTGTGTTCAACAACCTTTTCCAAGGATAGGTGGGTGAGACAATTTGGTCAAAAATTGGTCACTCAACAAAGTCAAGAAAAAATTCAATTTCAATTTGAAACTTAAAAAGATTTTGGTTTTGGGACTCTTCCTAGGTATGGCCCGGCCCCTGTGCCACAGTGTCACTACACCCCCTCCCTATCCCCCCCGAAGGGTGGGTGTGTTATAATTAACAAGTATTAAACGTAACCAACCGACATGTTTTCTTTTTTCACTAGGCCACGCAAGAATATAAATTACCAAATGACCTTCCTGTTACAAAGCGCATGCTCCACAAGGCTGCAAAAGCAAACGCTGACCCGTTCCTTGGAGGTGTGAATCAAAATTCCTTACCAGTTCTTCCGGCAATTAAGGGATCTGAAACCTTTTTGGCCTTAAACATGCTGCCAAAGGACCAACCATCGCAGATGCAAGGCTCAGAGAATGCTTCACAATTTTCGTACCATGTAGAATAAAAGGTGATTAACATCCTCGTGCCCAGTCCCTTTTCAGCTTTCTAACGAATAAATCGAATTTTGGATTTCGATTTTTCGTTAGAAAGTTTTAAAAGCAGGATTAAGGGAGAGGTTTTACATCATTTCGTTAGGGCAGCCATGTTAGATGGCAGGAACAATACGATCGATTTAAATAAAAAGAATTTAATTCCCATAAGGGAATTACCACAGGCAACCCAAGCTGTATTATATACGTGGGTACGTGATGGTGCAAAACCTCTATTGAAAAATGATAAAAAGTTTTCATATCTTATGGAACAAGACGTTCGGTGCCAAACGACTACCTGCAACTATGACCAATCGTAGGAAGACGTTTCACAGGGGAAAAATTGAAAAATATATTTTTGTAACAGTATAAGATTACTAGAACTTTTCTATGATTGCAAATGTTTAAAAAAGTTGATGGTTATCTAAGTCGCATCGGTGTTTTGTAAAACTCTTAACTGTGATTTACAGTCGGTCCATTGCAAAATATGGAAAAAATTCAGCATCTTTATCAATAGTTTAATTCATTTATTTAATTCAGAAAAAAMCAGATTTCCCAATATTTATGGGGAAAAACATTATTGCAAAACAAACGTAAAAAAATTAAATAAACGATACTTGATATGTAAAAATCTATTATTGTTACAGAATAAAAAACAAATTATTCCTATCCACTGAATCATCACTGCCTTCTCCTTTTGTTAATATTTTTTGTCGAAGCAATATTTATATAAATTGACGAGGAACGCCTGGTCAATATCGTTATTTTTACACCAGCTCAAAATGTTTAATTTTGAGCTTAATCCGTTGGTGTAAAAGTGATAAAAATCACCAGGCGTTCCTCGCTCTCATTTGCACGACAGATTCTGGTTTTTTTTTTGTTTTTTTTTTGTTGCGTTATTCGAAAGTTTTCGAAGTAAAACCTGTCATTTCTAACTTTTCTAGGCTTTGGGGAATTCCAGGGGTTATTCCCTTGTAATTGAGAGCATTTGGAACAGTTTCAAATTCTTTTTCAAAAAACGCGGTTTAAAATTTTGTCTAAAAACTTACATAAAAAGGACGAGGAACGCCTGGTCGATATCGTGATTTTTAAGCCAGCTCAAAATGTTTAATTTTAAGCTTAATCCGTTGGTGTAAAAGTGATGAAAATCAGCAGGCGTTCCTCGCCCTCACTTGCATGACGGGTTAGGGTTTTCTCGCGTTCTTCGAAAGTTTTCAAAGTAAAACCCCTCATTTCTAACTTTTCTAGGCTTTGGGGGGTTCGAGGGGCTATTCCCTTGGAATTGGGAGCATTTGGAACAATTTCCAAGTGTTTTTCAAAAAAGGGTTAACATTTTATCAAAAAAGCTTCCATAAAAAGCACGAGGAACGCCTGGTCGATATGGTGATTTTTACACCAGCTCAAAATGTTTAATTTTGAGCTTAATCCGTTGGTGTAAAAGTGATGAAAATCAGCAGGCGTTCCTCGCTCTCATTTGC